GTACTTTCCAGGCCCATCTTCTGAATGACTGAAAGTTGAAGTAGGTTGACCGCACTTCCATTGTCAACCATCATCCTGTCGACTATAGCATGGGCTAGTTGGACAGATACTACTAATGCATCGTCGTGTGGGAAGTCGACTCCTTCTGCATCCTGCTCCGTGAAGCCAATGATAGGTCCATGTTGGGTTATCGACTGCATGAACTTGTGAGATTAGTAAGGCCTGCTGGATCTTCCTCTTTTTTGGAGTTATTAGTAGCCCCTAAGTGCTCGGACTCAGCGAAAATGCCGTTGATTCGAATCGTCTTAGTTGGTGGCTCCTCATCTCCGTCTGCATTCCTTTTTTGCTGCTGCTCAGCTGGCTTGTCCAAATATCTATCGACTTTGCCTTCTTTCACGAGTTTCTCTAGGTAGTTCTTCCAAGTGTAGCAATCGTTGGTTGTGTGACCGGGACCTCGGTGGAATGCACAATACTTAGTGTGGTCCAACTTGGAAGTATCTCCTTTTGACTGCTTCGGCAACTTGAACCATGGTTCATTCTTGACGTCACGAAGGATTTGATGAATCGGAATTGAGAACTTAGAATAGTTGTTGGTCATCGGGCCTTCTTTGGTCGTGGGTCGGTCCCTGCGCTTGAACTCCTGCCTGCCCTTGTTGGGTTGTTTTTCATCCTTCTTTTGAGTAGCTGCCAACTCTTTTCGAGGTTGTTCGGGAGCCTTTTCTGCTTGTCGAGCCTCGTCCCAAAGCGCATGCTTTTCTGCCAGAGCAAAGGAATCTGCTAGAGTTAGGTCTTCTTTCATGATCATTTCTCCAAACAGTGGGTGGTCTGCTGGTAGTCCTTTTTGGAAGGCTGCACTTGCTATCGAGTTGTCGCATCCGACGATCTTCGCCTTCTCTGCTTTGAATCTCTTCACGTAATCGCGAAGCGACTCTTTTGGGTTTTTCTTTACGTTGAACAGGTGATCGGACTTCTTCTTGATCGATCGATAAGATGAGTATTCTTTGGTGAAGACCAAGGAAAGATCATCAAAATTCAGGATGGATCGTGCCGGCAAGGTATGAAACCAATCTTGTGCCTTGCCTTGTAAAGTAGTGGCGAATATTTTGCACATAAGGGCGTCATTATTCCGATAAAGGACCATCGCATTTCGGTAATGCTTCAAGTGTCTTTCGGGATCCCCATCTCCTTTGAAAGATGTGAAGTGTGGCATGCTAAACTTGCGCGGAGGCTCTGCCTGCTCGATCTCATCCGCGAAAGGTGACCTGCTCATGTTGGTCATATCTCGCCTTAGTGCCTCATCAACCATTTCGTTGCGCCGAAAATCACGCATCCGCTCATTGAAAAGCCTTTCTACCTCTTCTTGGATTTGCTTTGTTTGTTGGGGTAGCGGAGCTTTTTGCTGCCCTTGGTCTTTTTCTACCGGTCTAGGCTGCTCTTCTTCTCGCTCGGCTCGTCTACGCTGTGGCTGCAATGGATGAGATAGATTCCTAGCAGGCGAGGGATTTCTTTGCAGGCTACCGGTTGAACTAGAGCCAGATTGAACGATCGTTTCCTTCCGTTTGTCAGGCTGCCTGCTCCGATGTGATGTGGAGGATACTCCTTGTGAGCCTAATCGCGAATGAATGCTTTGCCTGGAAGGTTGCCCATGTTGATTATCAAAGCGTGGCCCCAACCGTGAATGTATACTTGCTCGTGGGCCTAACCGAGAGTGCACGCTCATCCGCGCGCTAAGACGGGAGTATACGCTATTTCGGGGGCCCAATCGAGAGTGTGCACTGTCTGAATGCTCCACTTGTGATGGGTTGAATGGCTGCTTTCCAGGACGCTGTTTAAAAGGCTCCTTGTCTACCCTTGTTCTACTCCGGGAAACTTCATCGTGAGCGCGATGCATCTCAGTACGTTGTAAAAGTTGATTCACCAAGGTGGTTTGTTGTGCAAGGGCGCTCGTCAATTCTATGACTTGTCGGGACAAGTTTTGTTCGCCATTCGGATTGGAAGAACTTGGATGGAATGCACCTCCTTGAACAATGAAAGGGTGGTTGACTCCAGGTGCGAGATTTGAGTTGGGGAATGTCAAATCTGCAGAGAAATGCGGTGAAAACGCCTCAGCCTCGATGATTGGTCCGGATGGTTGAGATTGTCTCGGGCGGACTTGGGCAGCTTGGGAAACCATGAAAACAGGCTGGGCTGCGGGGGCAGGCTGGATCACTGGGGCAGGCTGGATCGTTGGAGCAGGCTGGGTGGCTACAAGAGCAGGCTGGATCACGGGAGCAGGCTGCTCAATGCGCGGTGCATGTGAATGCGAGGCTTGGGCTTTGGTCCACGTAAACTTGGATGGCACGACTCGGGCCGTGGTGAAGGCTCCATGGACCTCGCCACGAGTGGCTACCGAAGTAGCCACCGTGGTGGTTCCCATGGCGGCTGTGGTGAAGGCTCCATGGACCTCGCCACGAGCGGCTACCGAAGTAGCCACCGTGGTGGTTCCCATGGCGGCCGTGGTGAAGGCACCATGGACCTCGCCGCGGGTGGCTACCGAGGTAGCCATCACGGTGGTTCCCATGGTGGAAGCTCGTGGTGATGATGTCGCTCCCCTTCTTGTCGCATTTTGCCTCATGGATCTCCGTAGTCCCATTTCTTGAATACTAGAATTTTTACTTGCGGAATTTTCTAAATTTCTAGTCATTATATTTTTCTTATACGTTTTATCAAAGAACCTTTGCAAGTAGAAAATTCTAATAATAAGAACGTATGAAAAATATTCAAATAGACTAGAAAATAAAGAAAAAACCTTTTTGTACGAGAGTCTTCTACGAGTATGGATTACAACTCTCAATGAAAGCACCCAATTTGTGGATGCAAATTTTCTCCTCTTCGATCTTGGACGATTTTGCACCTACAAAACAACTAGCACCTTAGGTTAAGGCCAAAAGCCTCACGCGCCCACGATGAATGGGGGGGGCTTTGGCCGAAGAACCTCCGATGCCAAAGTTAGAAATTTAGAGAGAAATAGTGTTTAGAGTGTTTTTGGAATTTTTGCAAGAGGTTTGGAATGAATTTTTTGGTGAGAATAGGAGCCTATTTATAGGATTAGGCTTCCCCATTTTTCACCAAGGAAGGGCCGGCCACACCCTTCCCTTTTCTTAGTCAATTTGTGGTTTTTTATTAGCCCCTTTATTGGCTAATAAAATAGAAATGAATGGGGTCTTAAATGATTAGCTTTATTTGAGTAATAAAGTGGAGGAAAATAAAAAAAAAAGGTAGGGAAAAGATGGGAGGGAATGTGGCCGGTTACTATGGGATTTTTAGGTTTAATTTTAGGTTTAATTAGCCAATTAATTGGCTAATTAAATATGAAAGGAGATATTTTATTATTTATGGTATTGATTGGCTAATTTAAAAGGGAAGGAAAGGTGGAAAAGGTAGAAAAAAAGGTGATGGAATAGACTTTGAATGGGGTAGCCGGCCCTATCCCATTTTTTAGGTTTGAGTGGATGTTTCAAATTGGTAATTAAGGGATGATTTTAGGAGATATGGGAAGAATATATTATTTAGATAATTAATTAACTAAATAATATATTAGGGAAATTAAGTTTTGGAAATAATTACCTAAAATAAGATAATTTGGAATTAGTTACCTCTTCTGGAGCATTTTTGAATTGGTTGAGGATGATTACCCACTACTTGCGCGTAGGAATCCCGATATACCTCAAGGGTATTTTTGTCCTCTTTCGTTCACAAATCCACGTGTCGCCTAGTGAATATTTTTGGCTCCACAGAAATGTATACCGATGGAGCGTTACCGACCCCTAGCAATATAATGGGAGGTTCTAAATACCCAAATTTAACATATGAACAACCTGGCGTACCAATCTACTTTTCTTGACTGAATTAAACATAAACCACATTTCAGTCTCTGATTTGACTAAATTCTCTCATATACATGCATTGATAGTCACCTTGAACAAACATAAGAAAGTAACTTCTGTGGATGGGAAAATTTGGTAAAAGTAGAAGTTGGTGGATTTTAATTGGGAAAGAGGAAAACCGATTGATGGGGTTGCTCTCTAAAAGTGGTAAAGAATTTGGAGGAATGCCGAGGACTAGAAGAAAGAGCGCAGTTGGAGTGCAAGTCACCAACTTTCACTTGCTGAGAAATTTTTCTAGAGAGTGAAAAATCAAACCTAAAAATTTGCATGAGCATTGTACAATTGTATACCTTGCAAGTAAAGATGGTGTACAATTAGAAAGAAAATTGATCGAGTTTGAGTTTGGTTCATGGCCTAGGCAATACCACAAGATAGTGTGACATATGGCATGTTATTGGTGGCTAGGGCACAGTTTTTTCTCTTTCAAATGTGGAAAATTGAATGTGTTTTTGTTTTACTACATTTTCTCTTTTCTTTTGGCCCGAAGATATGAATTTCTTGTAACCAAAGAAAATTGCGCTTTAGAAAGGTAAATTATACTTTGCATCCATTTGATTTAGGACACAATTTGGTCCATATGCGATAAAAATTTATATAAAATAACATTAAGTTACAAATTGTAACACCATGTCTCTTCTACGTCTATCACATTATATAGTTTGAAATAAAAAGCTATGGTGTAACAATAATTTAACGGTTATTTTATATTCTTGTGTTTATAAGAGCTCATTTCACCTATTTTTTATTTACATGGAAGCCTGATTTATGTCGAAAAGCCATTTTTCATCCCCTTTTTTGTCTATGTCTATAAGGTTAAAGTTTTCTATGAAGAAAGATCTTGTTTGTTGTCCATGTGGCATATATCTGTATATTAATTTGCGTTCATCAATCCAGCATCTCTGTAAACAAAAAGTGAGCGAACTTGAGTGTTACGTCAAAATTAAAAATGGTTAACTTGACAGATGATTGACAGAGAAGGCTAAAGGTGTCTGGACTGGATGTTTTGCAACTTCTTTGCCAATTTTTTAAGGACATGGATCAAACCGTTGTGTGCCCCAGCGGTTGAGGCAACTGTTGTCTAATATAAGTCTTTCATATAAAGTCCCAGTTTTGGTTATGGATTCAACTCAAGTTGGAATCACAAAACGAACTGCGAAATTAATAGAGAAGAGCAAACTTTAGAGAGAACTACTCTTATTAAAAATAAAAAATAAAAAATAAAAAAAAAGACTAACTGACAATTATTACATTCAGCCAATTCCGATGCTTGTTATATATATAGCTTTGTCATCAACATTAATTCTCTCAAACAACAAACTACTTTGAGCCCTCGACGACTCTATGCTCCCTGCAACATCATAAACCAAAGATAATAAAACATTAAAGGGAAATTAATTAGCATTATTCAATATAATTAACATACTACGAATAATGATGAGTAATTGCATATATATATATGAACTTACGACGCTGCATATCATTCATGGCCAGATGTACAAGCAGGTCTCCTTGGGGGGAGCTGCTGGTGTGGAGTTCTCTGCATATTGTCACGTTAATTGGGTTTATTATTCAAAGCGAGTTAAATTTTTGAAACGAGAACAATTCTTAATTAAACATTGACATTTTGTCACGAATTATATGTTGTTTTGCCCCCTGAACTATCAAGATAGGGTTTTCGTGACGTGGGACTTATCGTCAAATTTCAAAAACCTCATCCAAATTGACGTTAAAAATTGTCGCATGCCTGAAAGTAATGCACTTATGTGTAGTTATAATTCTATACCTGGAGCTTTGGTTGTAAGGTCTCCACTGCTGCTGTTGATTTTGGATTCACCCCTGCACCTTGCTGTTACACATCCATGAATTAATGGAATTTTTTGATTTATTTACAAAATGAGTAAAAAGTAAAGGAGGAGTTTAACTTTCATTTTTTTTAGGAGGGGTTAATAATACCTTGCATAGTGCCCAATCTGCTGAATCAAAGAAGGCACGTTCATGATCCTGCATGCATACATGCACACACACAAATTAGGGTTTTGTTAGATGGGTTTAATGGAATATAACAGAAAAACAAAACTGATTGATGAACTCTTTGAAGTGGTAAACAATTTACCTTTGAAATCAAAGGCTTCTTCTTTGGCGCAAGTCCTCCATATTTGTTGGTAGCTGCTGACTGTAATTAAAACGGAAAAACAAACTGACAGTCAATGCACCGAGTATTGAACGCCTGTATTTGTATGGCTAAAACTTCGACAGCCTCAATGTGGCTATTCAAAGTCTAATCACTTCATACACCGGAGTATTGTAAGAAAACCGTAAATTGGGAATGAAGATGAACACAATGATGATATCATAAGCATGAAGTTCTGTGACTCGGGACTACTAAGTGAATTGCGGAAGAACTCTTCCTCAATCTTGAGGAGCCAAGAGGACTTCCTCTTCAACTCACTTAGTGGCCGATTTACAGAACTTTTTGTTTATGATCGGAACCGCCACTATGTAAAGATCATCACTACAAAAAATAAATTAAAACAAAGCTTGTTTAGTCAATCATTGTAGCAAATAGAGGAACACTTCGTAATTCATTTACTGGATGCACCCATTTGTTCAAAATCTGATACAATTTGATGACCAAATGGTCACATATTTATTTTATTTTTTTACGTAGTTGATATTTACATATTAATTTATAATACGAGCAATTTCGATTATAATATATAAACATGAAGTTTTATAAATTAGTTAAATAGTGAATTGGAGAGGAAATCCTCTTGTTTATGAGGGCATAGGATCGTCTCCGGAGCATCCCCATCCGGATCCTTCTTCTTTACCGTCCGAGTCGGCATCCTAGCTTCTCCGGAGCTGGCATGGTGGCTTCCCTAGCGCTGGTGGTTAGCAACGTCATAGTCGTCTGGAACCACGAACTCCTACTCCTTTAAAAATTGGTGAGAGGAGGGGAGGGAAGGGAATGGAAACAGAAGATGAGATAATCCTACCCCTTTAAAAATTGGTGAAAAGTAATCAATACAAGGGAAAGTCAACAGCAGCAACCACAGCTGGGGATGAAGGATGTTGGTAGTCTACGTTAGTGCCCATAGTTGTAAGTTGTAACCACCGTACCTGCTGCCGACATTTCGAATAGGGAAGACATATTCTCCTATCGTGTCAAGACACTAGCCGTTACTTAATAATATCCTAAATGTCGGTCCCATTTCAATTTTTCACTCCTATATCCGTCCCCACCCACCAAATGTCAATTGCAGGGAAAGGGATCCTCTCCGGATTTACTTTGAGGGAATTTTAGGAATTCTCACATTCTAACCGTTTATCGTATATTATGCGATCGGTTTTTGTCAGATATTATTTATATTTAATTTTAAATAAAAAATCAAATGATTTTTAACCGTACGATACAAGATGAATGGCTAAGATGTGGATATCTTCTTACTCATGTTTAAAACCTCAACATCCACTTAGTTCTACAGTCTAATTATATTCTTCTTCACTTGTAAGTGAGAGGCCTTATGCTCGATTTTCGTCAAAGATAAATTTGAACTATATAGTTGAGTAAGGCTTAGCTCACTCTCCTTCCCTTAATGTAGATAATATCGTATATTCAAAAACAAAATTATTTGTTCAATGAAAAAAAGAAAAAAAAAAGAAGAAACTATATGTAAAGCACATAGCTTAAAAATGTCAATATTTTTGTGGAAATATAAACAAATCAGAGAAATATATGAAAAGGGGTGTGAAATTTAAACTTCATCACATATTGATATTTTTGACATATCGGTTAAATATCAATAAAATTCTTATATTTAGTATAAACCAATTATTAACAATATCTAAAGTTTCATTTTTAATTTTCAACATTTTTGTCGAAGACAATTGATATCGATTTTCAATATATTCATCGATATTTTATACAAATTTGTATATCAATATTTGCACCAATACCGATATTTTAAACACTGATAACACATGTGTGAAATGGCTAGTAAATTAATGAATTAAAAAACTGCCACCAAAGGAAAAAAATAAAAAATAAAAATATTTGCCACCAACTTTAATTGAAATAAAGAGGATGCGGAGCGTATGACCGTGACTCATGCAGTAAGGATTGCAGAAACGGCCATTAAATTTCTTAATTATACATTTGAACCGACACCATGGAAATAGTCTACGCCTCTACGGTGGTTAACTAATCACATCCTCTCTGAATTTCAATTTTTATTAGTTTTTGGGCTTAATTAGTCTAAACTCAATAATTTAACAAATAATAAGTTGGAATTACGAATAAGAGAGAGAGAGAAATAGGAGCAGATCTTACCTCATGGTCTTGGGCAGAGAAGTAGTCTTGGCCTCTGTTGCAATCCTCCATCTCAGCTCTCCTGCAAGATCATTGATTCTAATCAATCTTGGGGCCAAAATTAAGAACTAATCACCAATGAAAAGAAAAGGGGAGCAGAAATTTGACATGAAAATTGAGAATTAAGACATGAGAGAGAGAGAGAGAGAGAGATGGCTAACAAGAACAATGCAGCTGCAAATAGTAGCAGAAGTGTTGAAATGGGGTAGGAGTAGGTTAGTAATCTGTATATATATAAATTATAATTATACACACATACACACACACACATAAGGACCAAAAAGAGGAAAGAAACTAAAAGAGAGGTAAACGGGATCTTGGCATTACCTTGTGGAAGAGCAAAGTGAGAGATGCAACAGAAATGTTGAGACGACAAGTTGCGAAAGGAAATAAAGGGGGGGGGGGAGAGAGAGAGAGAGAGAGAGAGAGAGAGAGAGAGAGATGATGAATGAAGGTTGAGTGAGATGGTAAGATAAGAATATAACTGTATTTATGTATATGTGTTGTGTTTTAGTATTTAATTTTGATTTGAGAAAGTATACTTATGATATACAATGTAGAAAGTCCAAATTAACGAGATATTTTTCAATATATCGAGAATACAGTTTAGTACACCAAATATCATTATACTAGTTGTTGAATACTTGGAAAATAAAATTTCAATCATTTGAATAATGCTGCTTGGTATAAAGACTCTAATACTAGCACACTGAAAAATCTCTCTAAACTAACAAGAAAAACTTATCTATAATCATATCTTTGTTTGACCAAAACAAATAATTGCATATCTCCTCTCTTTCTCTTTCTTATTACGTGTTGTTGGGTAATTCTTATCATGTGTTATCAGACAACTCTCGTAATGTAACGGTACGTAGTGGATGAAAATCCAAGATAAATATTTGGTATGGTAAGTAGATAAAATCTTCCTAATAAAGCGTATAAGATAGCGTAGTTGAGGCTGAGGTTCATGGAATGTGAGCAAAATCTCAAATACTATTGGGTTAGGAGGGCTTTTAGGACACTCAGCAAATTCTCACCATTGGTTGTTGGTCCAGTCTAATTTCTAAGACAAAGAGTACATGTTCACACGGGCCATTTATCTACTTTACTCACCGACAACCGCTGCAATTTTTGTTGTTTGTTTTCATATGTGGATTTTGACATGCCATTGTTGCAGAGAATAAAGAAGAAAGGGAGTAGTGACTGGCGGGAGAAAAACATGGGAGAGTTTTGTATGGTTTTGTCTTTTTAAATAGAAATATAGAAAGAAAACCAATAAATAATGAATAATACTTGCATTCCCGTTGGAAGAAAACACATATTTTACTCTTTGTGAGTGTACAAATTATATAATCAAACCGCTCAATTCCTTAATTTAAATTGGAGATTACTGTTAACAGAGTAACAAAGAATGCAGAAAAACTACTAAGAACAGTATGAGTGTTTAGAGAGCAAGAGAGAAGCAAAACGATTGTATTATTACTGAATGAAATCTTAACACTTTCAGACTTCAGTTTATATAGCCATTCTAACTGTCTTGTATTGTAATCTGTTTTAACTAACTAACTGATAACAACTCAGCTAACTAATTTCAACCGTTTAACTAACTATTGACTGATGAGCTGGCCATAGGTGAGTCATAGGTGTATAGTCAACATTCCCCCTCAATCTAAGCTGGGATTTCCAAGCTTTAGATTGTAACAATGCTTGAGAAATGAAGGACCATGCAGCCCCTTAGTTAGAATGTCTGCTGTTTGTTCTTCTGTTGGAATGTAGAGAACCTCAAGATCTCTTCTCTGTACTCTTTCCCTTACAAAATGATAATCTGTATCCAGATGCTTGATTCTGGAATGGAAGACAGGATTTGAACTTAAGGCTATCGCAGACATGTTATCACAATGTATTATAGGAGGTTGAGGCACTGAACATTTCAAATCTCTGAGAATCTGTCTAACCCAAGCTATGTCTGCAGCTGTATGAGCTAGAGCTTTATACTCAGCCTCTGTAAAACTTCTGGACACCGATGTTTGTTTCTTTGATTGCCAAGAAATCGGATTTTCCCCAAGATAAACCACATACCCAGTAACTGATCTCCTTGTATTGAGATCTGCAGCCCAATCAGAATCTGAGAAAGTAGTGAGAGTAGGATGTGATGCTGCAGAATACACTATCCCAGTATGCAGGGTTCCCTGCAAATATCGTAAAATTCGTTTGACAGCACCAAAATGTATCTCAGTAGGGGAATTCATATATTGACATACTGCATTAACTGCAAATGCAATGTCAGGTCTCGTAAATGTCAAGTATTGTAGAGACCCCACAGCACTTCTGTATGTACTAGGATCTGCAAGGAGAGTACCTTCGGAACACAAAAGCTGACTATGAGGCTTACAAGGAGTAGCAGCTGGTTTACACGAATCCATTCCTGATTTATGAATGAGATCCTTTATATACTTTGCTTGATGAACAAAAATATCCCCATTTGATTTATATTGAATCTGCAGACCAAGAAAGTAAGTGAGCCTGCCCAAATCTTTCAAATCAAACACTGTTGATAATTCTTGGACTACATTTTGAACTTTAACTGAGCTTGATCCAGTCAAAATAATATCATCCACATATAACAGTAGGATGATTATGTCCGCAGAGTCTGTTTTCATAAACAAACTTGTGTCTGAAACTGATGCAGTGAATCCCATTGATAGGAGATAACTTGTAAACTTTGAATTCCAGGCTCTAGGTGCCTGTTTTAACCCATATAGGGATTTCAACAACTTACAAACATGAGTTGGATGGCTAGGATCCACAAAGCCTTGTGGTTGTTTCATGTACACCTCCTCCTGTAACTCCCCATGCAAAAAGGCATTCTTTATGTCAAGTTGTTTCAACTCCCACCGATTCATAGCAGCTAATGCAATAATTATCCTTACAGTTGTATGCCTCACAACAGGACTGAAAGTATCAGAATAGTCAACTCCATGCTCCTGTGAAAACCCTTGAGCCACAAGCCTCGCCTTGTATCTTGAAATACTACCATCAGGGTTCTTTTTCACCTTATACACCCATTTGCTGCCAACTATAGATCTATTTTCAGGAGTAGGTACTAGTGTCCATGTACCTTGAGCTCGAAGAGAATCATACTCTTCTTGCATCGCAATTTGCCACTGAGACATGGATGCTGCTTTTCTGAAACATGAAGGTTCAACTGGATCTGTAATCTCAGACATAAAAGAAAAGCCTCCAACAAATGGATCTTCATCTGTGATCTGTAAACTTTGAATTTGAGGACAGAAAGACATCAATGCTGCATAATTCTTTCGTTCAATAGCACTTGTTCTCAACCTTGTTTGAACAACATTTTCTGGTATTGCATCAAGTAAATACTCAGAAGATGAGCTAGTTAATGATGAGATAGGCAGAATTACCTCAAGCTGAGAATTGTGATGGACAGGCAACATAGGAGAAATACTAGTTGAGATACCAGAGTGATGATGAGGGGAACTATCATGTTGATCAGGACTGTGAGAACCATCTTTGTGTGAAGATAAATGCTGATCAGAACTATGAGACCCATCTCTGTGTGAAGATAACTGTAAATTTGCACCACTGACTTCAGGTGAGTCACTTGCTTGAACCGATGTATTAGCAGTCTCATTTTGTACTTCCATAACCTGTCCTGCATAACCATTATCATTGGGAAATGGCATATGTATCACAATTGGAGCTGAAGGATTGTGTGGATTATGCTGTGTTGACTTGACAGAATTCTGCATTTCTGTGATTAATTTGCCTCTGTATGGGAAAACCTCCTCATCGTGAACAACATGTCTTGATATGAGCAATTTACCAGTACTAATATTGTAACAAGCTACTCCCTTATATCCCATCATATAACCAAGAAAAACACACTGAATTGATCTTTTCTGCAGTTTGTTCTCATTATATGGCCTCAAAAATGGATAAACTGCAGTACCAAACACTTTTAGATGTTGAATCTCAGGTTCTAGTCCAAAAACTACCTGATATGGGGACTGCATACTTAGGTTTCTACTTGGCATCCTATTAATAAGAAATGCAGCATGTGTGCAAGCATGATACCAGAATTGGGTAGGTAAATTTGCTTCAGTCAACAAAGTCACAGCAGTTTCAATCACATGTCTATGTTTCCTCTCTGCAATGCCATTTTGTTGAAGAGTATATGGACAAGATATCATATGGTTAATCCCTTTATTCTCCAGAAAATTGATAAATGTCTTACTCAAAAACTCTCCCCCTCCATCAGATTGTAAACACTTGATTGTAACATTGAATTGATTCAAAATAAAGGCATGAAACTTCACAAATATCTCAAAAGCTTGTGATTTATTATTCATAGGAAATATCCAAAGGAACCGAGAAAATTCATCTACAAAACTAATATAGTACCTATATCCTTGTACAGACACTTTTGGAGAGGGCCCCCATACATCAGTATGAATCTTCTCAAAAAGAAAAGTAGCTCTAGACTGTTTTACATGAAAAGGTTGCATACTCATTTTACCACTAATACACGAAGAACATAAGGACTGTGAACAATCAGCATGAACTACCACCTTTGACTTCTTTAGCATTGCAGCAAGTACCTCCACAGATGGATGTCCTAACCTTTGATGCCATACTGAAACATGAACTTTCTTTCCCAGAAAAGCTGAACATTTTCCCAACTTTGCAGCAAACGACATGGCAAACACATTCACCGGTATTGTAAACAGATCCCCACCATCACTCTTTCCTTGGTAAAGTATTTTCCTTGTTGCCTTGTCCTGTATAAAAAACACAATATCATCACACACAAACCAGCAACCATTATCCTTACACATCTTTTTAACAGATAACAAATTGACAGCAATTGTAGGAACACAAAGCACATTTCTCAATACTATATCATTATGAGGCATAGATATAGAAGTTGAACCAATATGAGTAACTGATAAACCTGTACCATTCCCAATAGTAATCTTCTCATCACCATTGTATGGAGTGACATTATTGAGATGATTTAGATTAGCAGTCATATGATGAGTAGCCCCCGTGTCAATAATCCAATGATCTTCAGTAGAAAAACCATGTCCATTTTCATTTGGAAATACTGAACCAGCAGCTGCATTTGTCTCAATGTTTGCCTGAGCAGTCATAGCAAGAGAAGAAGGTGGAGGATTACCTTGGTAAGCATAGTTGTTCCTATGATAGCATTCAAGAGCAATATGCCCTCTTTTTCCACAAATTTGACATATCACAGGACCGGAACTCTGAACATTCCCATTATCAGATCTGTAATAACAGTTTGGTGCAGTATGTCATCTTCTTGAGCAAATCTGACACTCTGGTGACACAGAAGACTTAAAATTGGTATTTCCAGCCCAGTTTGTCTTAGAATAGCCATTTGAACTGCCATTTGAACTCCCATTGCCAGAAAACGAACCTCCATTCCCATAACTATTTCCAGAATATCCATTTCCCCCACTCTGATGAGCTTTTCCATTTCCAGAATAATTGTTGTTTCCATTCCCAAAGTGATTGTTAGTACTTCCACTTGCATTCCTGTTATGAAACCCGGAAGATGAATTCTTAAAGTTGTTATTTCCATTCCCAAACTTCTTGAAATTGTTGTTGCTACCATTTCTAGTATTGTAATTGTTCCTGTTATTTCCATTGCCCAGAAAACCAGATCCACCTTGAAAGCTATCTCCAAATTGCTCTCCATTATATCCTCCTTGCATCCCTTGTGTATTTGAGCTTTCACCATGTTCATAGCTCTGATATCGCTGAGCGCTAGAACCTTCACCTTGAACACACATTGCAGCCATAGAACTTGACAAAGATTGCATCTTGGATTCAATACTCCCTTCTGCAACAAGAAGTTGAGCCCGGAAATCTTTTAAAGATAGAGTTGTATCCCTTGCTAAGATCACTGTCCGAATCATCTCAAAATCTGCAGGCAGACCAAATAACACAGCAATCATCAAATCATTATCTGAAATTCTTTCTCCAACAGAAACAAGTTGATCCCTTATATTCTTCAGCCTCATTAAGAACTTATCCACAGATTCCCCTCCTTTTTGTGCTGTATGTAATTCAGTCTTTAACTGATTAACTCGAACAACTGAAATCGATGCAAACCTTTCTTGTAAACATGTCCAGGCTTCATGAGATGTTCTGCACCCAATGACATGCTCCATAGCCTCATCAGATAAAGTAGCAATAAGAAGACTTAGCAGTGCCATATCTTTTCTCACCCATTCTTTATACTCGGCAGAGACTTCCTTTGTTATACCGGTGTCTGGACTAATCACAAACTTAGATGGACAAGGATTCTCTCCAAGAAAGAAATCAAACAAATCATATCCCCTCAAAACTGACTGAAATTGATATCCCTACTTAACAAAATTATCATCTTGAAGTTTCACATTCAACATTCCCAACAATGCTTCAATTTTGACACTTGAATCAGCCATTATATCAACTTTAACAACAAATGAAATCTTCGGAAGAACTCGTCAACAACTCCTGGCTATCGGCCTTTTGAAGAACACAACAAGACTTCTACACACACATTTCTGGCTATCGGCCTTTCTGAAGTGAAACAAAACTTCGACACACACACTTCTGGCTATCGGCCTTTCTGAAGTGAAACATAAAAGGGAAATGGCTATTGGCCTTTCTATCCCAACAAATACCTCATTGATCTATCCATTCCATGATTACAAGACTAATGACTATCGGCCTCGAACAATTATGCAACTTGAAGCAGAATTTGTGACTTCGACATTTCATCAAACATATAGAATGCAAGAAATCAGAAAGAACCTGAAAGGACTGCGTTCTTGAATCTGTACCCAAACCAGAAACGATATGATCGAAGAACGTCTCCTCCCTTTCGATCCCAAATCAGCGGAAGAAAGGCACCAAGAATCGACTCGGCGATGATACCATGTTAACAGAGTAACAAAGAATGCAGAAAAACTACTAAGAACAGTATGAGTGTTTAGAGAGCAAGAGAGAAGCAAAACGATTGTATTATTACTGAATGAAATCTTAACACTTTCAGACTTCAGTTTATATAGCCATTCTAACTGTCTTGTATTGTAATCTGTTTTAACTAACTAACTGATAACAACTCAGCTAACTAATTTCAACCGTTTAACTAACTATTGACTGATGAGCTGGCCATAGGTGAGTCATAGGTGTATAGTCAACATTCCCCCTCAATCTAAGCTGGGATTTCCAAGCTTTAGATTGTAACAATGCTTGAGAAATGAAGGACCATGCAGCCCCTTAGTTAGAATGTCTGCTGTTTGTTCTTCTGTTGGAATGTAGAGAACCTCAAGATCTCTTCTCTGTACTCTTTCCCTTACAAAATGATAATCTGTATCCAGATGCTTGATTCTGGAATGGAAGACAGGATTTGAACTTAAGGCTATCGCAGACATGTTATCACAATGTATTATAGGAGGTTGAGGCACTGAACATTTCAAATCTCTGAGAATCTGTCTAACCCAAGCTATGTCTGCAGCTGTATGAGCTAGAGCTTTATACTCAGCCTCTGTAAAACTTCTGGACACCGATGTTTGTTTCTTTGATTGCCAAGAAATCGGATTTTCCCCAAGATAAACCACATACCCAGTAACTGATCTCCTTGTATTGAGATCTGCAGCCCAATCAGAATCTGAGAAAGTAGTGAGAGTAGGATGTGATGCTGCAGAATACACTATCCCAGTATGCAGGGTTCCCTGCAAATATCGTAAAATTCGTTTGACAGCACCAAAATGTATCTCAGTAGGGGAATTCATATATTGACATACTGCATTAACTGCAAATGCAATGTCAGGTCTCGTAAATGTTGTAGTCGGTTTGTTCATATTGATACGTAGTCTAATTTTTAACTCTTTTCGTGTTATTGTTTTATTCCAGTCTTTCTTAATATAACTCCAAAAACTGAACATGTGTTGTCATAGTCACGTAAAAGGCAAGTATAGTCGTTGTGGGATTGATCTGAGAATTCACCATAATATTGAAGGTGAGCTGGATGAGTTTGTCGGGTAGAACATTGCACCTGAGATGAAAATCAAATTTGTTTTCACCTCATGAATTTCAGCTTGTTTCTTTCACGGATTCTCTTCTTTTGGCAGGAAAATCCATTAGAACAAAAAGAAAAGATAATTAACCCAACAACTTCAATTTATTACAAGGAAGAAAAAAAAACAGGATAATGTGTACCTACTTTTGATTATAACTACAAACCAACCTTGCATTGTTTGTATCTATCAAGCATTAATTTATTTTCCTTCTTGAAGAAGTCTCTTCCGCTTTAGCCATTTTGAATGCATTCAAACAAATACGTTACAGGTTAGCCTACTGATGAGAGTAGATAAGATGATGATTAAGAGTATATGCTTGATTTAGAGTTCGTACTCTTCAAATTGCAAATTACAACATTTTGCTTGTGTAGTATAGCAACACATGAGATTCAAAATTACTATTTTATTAAAACCTTACGGCTCATTAATCAATATTCTGTCTTTTGGATAGTCTTTCCTTTACTTGTACAGTAGAATTTTCCTTTTTCTTTCCTATTCTGTGACTTCGAAAAGGAAGACTAGAAGTAACTAATTGATAATTAAATGCTAATCCCGTAACATTTTGGGGTGACTACCAATTTTTTGATAGCTCCTAATTAGAACTTAATCTCTCCTAAATTTGCTTCAACAGAAACATGATGCTTCAAGTCACCAATTTCCAGTTTGTGTTCGCCCAATGGGATTCTCCGGATCCCAAATTTGTCAACGACGCTCAGGTGCTTGCACACGTGGACGCCAACCCTAACCCGTCTCTCCGACCCGGCCACGATATGGACCTTGTGAAAGCCCACTAGTTGCTTGTTGGGGGCCCATTTTTCTGCCGGTGGGGTCACGAACACCAGAAGAGTGTGGGTCCCGTCCATGGTTCCGGTGTTTTTGACGTCAACATGGATGTCGAGTGAGAGTGAGTCGCAGTTTATGTGGCTGACTCGGATGCCGTTGTTGTTCAGCATGGTTGTGTTTTTGGCGGCAACGAGGCTAGTGAGTGGGACCGAGACCAGTGTGGGCCCCTGTGCTAGTGTGTAGGAGAATCTGGTGTAGCTTAGGCCCAGCCCAAATGGGAAGACAACTGGGCCTTTGTAGAATCTGTAAGTCCTGCCAGGGTAGCCTCTTGCTGGGTTTGCTCTCATGGCCATGTCTGTCATTGGCAATTTGGCCACATAGTTTTGAGGGTACCATGTCATAGGGAGCTTTCCACCTACACAAACAAAACATAATTAATCAATATCACGTGGCAGCGTGACGGTCATAAATATAAATTTCTCATTTGTTCGAGTATTACTTGGGTTCGTAGTGCCAAACAAAACATCGGCAATGGCAGTTCCTCCAGCCTGACCAGGATACCCAACCCAAATAATGGCTCCAATGCGCGGGTCATTTTTTGCAAACGTAACATCAATAGGGCTACCAGACATTATGACCAATATGGTTGGTCCTCTAGAGGCCCTAGCCACCATGGACACCAGCTCCTGTTGGTGTCCGGGCAAGAGGAGGTTGGTCCGGTCTCTGAACTCTGCTTCGATTGATTGGTCAAGGCCTATTACTAAGACAGTTGCATCAGCCTGTCTTGCTGCAGCCTCAGCAGCACCAATTAGTTGGTTTCCATTGCAATGAACATTTGAGCACCCAGCTTGGTGTATGGTCCTTGTGTACCTCGCAATTCCTTGTAGTGGCGTAGTGTAACCACATGCAACTCCTACATACAATTACAAAAATATCCAATGGATCAAATTTTAAATCTTTGCTAAGAAATTGGACTAAATTGACAATATATATATATGTACAGTTTTACATTTTTAGTAAACTTACCAGCATAATTTCCAATCATTGTTTCAGTAACATCAGAATTGGGCCCGATTACTGCGACGGTACGATGACGCGTGGTTGAGAGGGGCAACGAATTCCCACGGTTTTCAAGCAGAACAATGCCTTGCCTGGCAGCTTCAAGGGCTAGCTCATTGCTGGACATTTTGCACACATCTGCTGGGCCTAGGTTTCCATATCTCTGAGTGGACGGTTCGCCATCGAACATGCCCAATCTCATTTGGACCGTGATCGTATTAGCCAATGCGTAGTTAATGTCAATCTCATTTACCAGGCCCGTCCTCACGGCCGCCTCCGTATGGATGGCGAGGAACGGCCCACAATCCAAATCCAAACCTACAGTTTACAAATTTGGATTTAGATTCTCATAACTTTATCTTTCATGCACGCGCACGGTTAAACCGCTAATCACCTGCTTTAATTGCGTCTGCTGCTGCTTCTTCTGGTGTCTTGGTGTAATGTTGGTCGTCATAATAAACACCAACTGAGTCACAATCCGAGACAATATACCTATTTGGGCACGTACACCGAAAGCTTAAACAGATATTAAAGGCTACAAATACAAATTAAGGGAATTATATATCATTAGTTCAAATCAATGAGACTCACCCATTGAGTCTCCATTGGCCGCGGATTGTGCCCTTGAGGAGATTAGGGTCAGCACAAGTAGGCTTTCCATTGACCTGGTTGTAGGAGCACATAACACTAGCAACATTCCCATCTACCACACAGGCTCTGAAGGGCACATCATATGTGTCTTCCAAGTCTTGCTTGCTAACCTGCACATGTCACACATAAAACATTTTATACACACTCTACATATATATACGAAAACGTTGTTTCGTCTGACAATCTAATATGTTAATTATGACGTCAAACTGTCAATTCAAAATATTGATTACGTCTAGGTTGGTGCAATGACAACGTAACATGTCATACATGTGAATATGCTTAAATATGAAATGACAAGCTAGATTAAGATTTTGTTACCCTAGCATTGAAGTGGAAGCGATCAACACCGTTCCAGTTATCGAGATCATAGGCAGTGTAATGTTTGCAGCATGCAGCAACCTTAAGGCGATTGCCAACACCATCACCTTGGAGGCCCTTGACATACCTAGCACCATACTTGGCAGCCAAGACAGGGTCTTCCCCAGGAGTCTCTTGCCCTCTACCCCATCTCGGGTCACGAAATATGTTCACATTTGGGCTCCAAAATGTTAGTCCAGCCGCGCCCCCGTTGTACATTGCTCTTGCTTCATCAGACACAACCTATCCAATTACAAAAAATTATTGACCACATAATTTAATTTCCCTTCATT